CTAATTGTATAGCTCGCGGTATAAACTTTCATTAGAATTAACGGTGGTGTGCAGACCGTCGCGACGGCGACCCCGACGCTGCCTTAGCCTGGCATTAGAAGAACAGCGGTGTTATTACTGCGAGACACCGGTTTGTTTATTACCCGATTTGCTGGCCGAATTCGCACAGTATATATACGTATGTTTATAAAACCAACATTGTTTCATACATTACTAATTAGATTGCATAAGCAAAATTTCGAGTTATCTCGAGTGATATTGTAGGTTCAACAATACGCCACCGCGTCAGGGAGAGATGTGTAAACAGAAAAGAAAACCGCACCCGCACCATCCCCTTACAAAATACACGACCCACACTAATTTCGCGAATGTTTTCTTGGAGGGTCGAGCTACGCTCTAATCGGCGATTCGTACTATAATTCAACATTTATCCCATGTAAAAATCCATCGTAGTTCGACATAAAATTGATTTCGTCGTTATTTAAATGTAATATGGGGTAAATTTTGAATAGTGTTGCACTCTAAGAGAGTCATACACGTACCTACGTATGCACACCAATGTGGCATAGATATAGGTACAATTCCCGTATTTTACAGTTGACGCATATAAAGAAAATTGAGATACCAGGACTAACTAAAACCCATGTTGAACTTGAAATCTAGTTGCTGCATTCAATCCTTCTACAAACTCGTAATACTTTTCGTATGCAGAGAAGGTATTGGTAATAACATATAAACAAGTTCAAAAAATATTACTTATAATGTTTTTAAACATAAAAGTCTGCAAGATGAGAAGATCATACTTATAAGTTATCGTTAATACTAACAAGCGACAGAAACTGTAAAAGTGCGACCATACTTGTTCATGAAAAAAAAGTAAGCATAAGCACTATATCGAAATAACCAATAATTTAGTATAGCGATCAACAAATAACACAAATTAGGACAAATAACCTATTCAAATACAATCGTAATTACCAATTTTCATTAGGCATTTGTTATTGTAACTGTTATTTAATGAAACGCACAATTAACAGTAGATATAATTTTTATATGATAAATAAAATAGGCCGCTCAGGTTGACAGGTTGATTACTGATCAAGTTTATTGTCGCAGAACTGTAGAAGAACTAATTTAATTTTTAAAAATATAGTATTACGAAGACTGAAAAGGAGGAGTTAATTGTTAGACAGAAAAATAAGGGATAAGAAGGAATAATTTTTACTTAGAAATACAGCGAAAAGACATAGACCCAAAAGTACCAACCAACCAACGAGAATTTCCAGGTACTCCTACTCCTAAATACCAAAAAAGTGCAGGATCCGCTAGGTACCGGTTCCAAAATGGGTACCCGGCTCATCCCTAGTCTATACGTATGATTGTAACATGATACTAGGTTAGAAATAACGAGGTATTAGTAAGAATAGGAGAACAGAGGACTCTATGGAAGTTAATCGGCGAGATTGGTTAGTAGGACACCCTTTCAGGCATGAAGGTCTAGTCAGAGACATAGTAGAGGCAGAAACAGGAGTTAGGAGGGGTAGAGGTAGACCTAGGTTAGATTACTGTTCACAAATAGTTAAGGATGTGGGCTGTTCTAGTTTTAGGGAAATGCGAAGTTTAACTCAGGATAGAAAAGAGTGGAGGTACGTGTCCAACCAGTCTTTGGACTGACGACCCTATGATGATGATGATGATGATGATGAATATGATACTAATTTTAAATAAAATCCATTAACTCCTTATAATGTTCTTAAGAGTGAAAATATGTATACTACAGAAACTTTCTGTGATAAAATCGCAAACATTTCCAACAATGTTAACATTTTTGTACTTGAAGAACGGTGTTATTCAAATAAACATGAAGGCATTAAAGAAATACATAGACAAAGCTTTTCTAATATAAAGAGAAAAGTTTTCCGAATTAAAATCCGCAAGTTCTCTCGCGGCGTCGTGCCGTTCAGTGCATGAAAGTCATTCAATTTCATTCAGACCATGATTTACTGAGTCGTACAGCGGCAAAACTAACCAAAGTTTTATTAAAATTGACAGTATTTTGCAATTTACTTACGGTTGATGCTCAAATATTTTCAAAGTTTCAGTTGTTTACGGAAATTTATTCCCGGAACAAATGCGTTCAAAAATGCCACACAGAGGCGGACTTGTACTTTAGAAATAAAGTCTTAACGGTCTTCTTATTTTTTGGGTAGTTTGAATATCATCTCAATTGGAATACTGTACGGAATATTTTCAAGTAAAGGTAAAAATCGATACATAAGAGTGCAGATTATTCATTATTCATTCTTTTAATCAAGGGATGAAAAGGATAATTATTTGTAATATATTAAATCATTACTTGATGATTCATTAAAATCAATATTACAATACATTAAAACCATTTTTGTATATTTTTTTGTTTATATAAAACTATATTAGAAATACATTACCTGTATATTCGGACAAGTGCCGGTACTCCCCGCATATTTTTAGGTGTGTCAGTTGTAGGGTAACATTTCTACATTCTAAAGGAATATAGAACAAAAAAGCTTTTACTTTATGCCTTCCGGAAATTGCGTGCAATAACGTTAAATGCTTCCTTCACTTCGACAAAAGGAAACGAAAACTATGCAGGATCTTCTCTTTTTACAATCAGTCCCGCCGTCCTTCACATTAAATTCCTTCCTTCTGGCGTCGTCGACCTCTTTAATTAAAAACTTTTTCTCGCGGTCTTCGATTTGCTGCGTTTTTGTTATATAATTGATCTGCCTGCTTTTTCTATAAAAAGAAACGGGAGCGCGGACATGCCCGCTCCTGTTCGTCCTCTTTCGTTCCCCCATTCGCCCCAATAATTCCTGCCGCCGACTGACATTCTTTCTTCGGCTGAATTGTTTACTTAATCGTCTGCCCATCAGACGAAATCCATTAACTTTTTCTGCAACATCTTAAATGTATCGTCGTCATCGTTGTCATCGGATGGATATGAAGAGGAGTATCGTTCCCCGGATCCGCTCAGATATTTTGTGACTTGTTTGATCTCTGAAATGTTTACCGACTTGGATTATTTTTCATATCTGTTTCTGTATCTGCAACAGCATACGCTTAGGATGTGATCTTCGTATGTGTAGTCATCGAAATCTCCCTTCTTTATAGATATATCTATTTAGTTTTCTACATTTACTTAAGTATAATAAATTTTTTTAAGAAAATCTTTTAGGCATTTGCTCATTTTTTAAATATCGGAGTTTCTTTGGAATAATAGTAGTGTGCATTATATCACCAGCTGCGAAGATTGAGTTTGATTCATATTTTTCTCTTTGAAGTGATTTGGATATAGTTTTTCTATCTTTATGTTATAGTTTCTTCACTTCAGCAACAAACCTTTGTTACCGTTTTAATTTGAAAAAAAAAAAAAACAAAATTCCAATATAGTTTGCTTAGCGTGAAAAATCAGAACCAAAATAGGGTTCCAAATGAGTTTATTAATGTAAAATCACCATCAATCATTTCATATCAAAATATTTACAACCACATTTTGTTTCTGATCGTTTACACATTATAAAAAAAAAAAGAAATAGAATCCATAGTTTATTTAGCTTTGGGTTCATCTAATAAGTGAA